ATGGAAGCATCCTAAGTGCACATCAATAGACAGATGGATAAAGAAGATGCAGCAGATACATAATGGAATACAGGAGTTATGTCTATTTTAATGGAGAGGAAACTAAAGCACAGAGTTAAAAGGCTTGTCCTAGGTCACTTACGTGGGTGGTAGGAGCCAGGACTTTCTCCTAGTGAAAGGTGTGGGACAGAATGGTCTGAGTTACATTTCCAACTTTGGAGAAGACATAAAGGAATAATCAGAGGTAGGTCCTATTATTCAGGAAGACGTCTTGAAGGATGTGAGTTAGGAAGGTTTTAGAAGAGACGTGGTGGATACAAGGAGAGAGTGTGGAGGGCTCAGATACAGAAGAGTCATGAGTAGAGCAACAAGCATCAGCATTCTGGTAAGCTCTGGGGCCCAATATGTTAATGAAAAGGTTTTAAAAATGTCTCCTAAGTTGCAGGGTCCCTACAGGCACCTGCTGTGGATTGCCAGGTCTCAGAGAGTTGTTGTGGGATGGGTTTAGAATGTATGGTGCAAACACAGCAGACATTGGGGATTTCTCAGTGTCCTCGTGTACCTGCGTATAATGGGACAGGGCTCCCAAGGTGGGTCCTCTCTGGGAGCCTCATGCCTCAGTGTCTCCTCACTTTTTCCAGTTCACCAAGCAAGCATCGGCCAGACCTTAAAGAACCGCATGGTGTTGATCTAAATAGGAGATTCATGCTTATACCCCAAAGCTGATTTATTAGAGTGTTTTCTTCACAGTAACAGGAGTACTGCTGTTCATTATTCAAGGTGCCTCCTCCCAGTGGTCAAGTTAGCCAGAAAATGGAATGAGAATCATAAGGCTGCTTGGTGAGCTTGGAACTAGAGTTAGCATTTTGCTGGTCTTGAGGACTAGATCATGCAGAAAGGACATCGCCTGCTTGGCCTCCTCTGTCCCTAGCAGACTGTTGGTAGTTGTGGTCACTGTCATTATGGGTCCCCACTCTGTGCCGGCCACCAAGGATCCGCTTTCCACATGTTCTCTTATTTAAAGTCACACCACGCTGTGTGTCACCCTTGGTGTCATGACCATGTTAGAGATGAGAGAACGGGCTCAGAGAATGGAGCTGACTTGCCCAAGGTCACATAGATGGTGGGTGCCTGGTCACGTACCCAGACGGAACCTCTGATTCTACACTTGTGCCCTGCTTACTGATGTTCCACCACACTGTCTGCACCGGGGGCCAGAGCCAGCGTCTTTCTCCTTTAGAAATGCTGGATGAACAGTGAATCCTGTTACCACCATCTCGCCATCTCCCAGGTTTCACGCAAGCACTGACGCTTTTGTTTACTCATTTCCTTTTAGACACTTCATTCATTCATTCATTCATTCATTCATTCATTCATTCATGGCCTGTGTGGTGAGCAAGCATGATGTCCGGAACGAGATGAACACACATTCTTCCTTTATGCTTCTTCCTGTGCCTTGAAGACCTCGTTCAGGGGGTTAGTCTTCCCCTGACTGACTGACTAGCTGAAGAGCCCCAGCCTTTGTGCTCACTGTCAGGGAATGCACAGTAGTTTTCAGAATTATTTGGTCAGGCCTGGGTGTTCTCTTCCCCGTGTTTCTGGCTTAGCCTCCCCCACCCTTCCTGACCCTCTCTGGTCTTTGAGGGCATGTAGGAATGTAAAAAAAAGGAGGAACAGAAGCGGCTGAAAATCTGCACGCCCGTCTCGGGTCAGGCTCCAGAGTCTGAAAGGAAGCGCAAAAGTGATGAGTGCCAAGAGTCGGGCGCCCTCCTGCTGGCTGGCATCAGGAGGCAGGGACAGACTGCACTCCCGTAGCTTCAGCAGTTTGGGCCAGTGGCTCCGCTGGCGCCCATCCAGTCCTTGGCAGATTCTCTGACACCCGCTGAGACCGCCGAGACCACCCGGCAGCTCATTCTTCAGAGCAGACAGCCACACTTCGCATAGGCACCCAAAATAATACCAGGCAGCTTTAATGGATGCCTTCTCTTTGCTTTTAAAAATTAAACAAAACAAAAGCAACTGCAGCTGAAGGGTAAGTACAGCAAAAGATTTCAAAAGTTTTCAAAGAGTTGACATTCACAGCTTGATCCACCGCATCTAGATAAGTTCCAGGGCACAGACGGGAGTGTCCTGCCCTTCGAGAGGTGGGGGTTCGGTGGGGCAGTCACCTGCGTGTTGCACAGGAATGGCCAGCGTCTTTCTGTCTGTCTGTCAGCTAGCTTTGTGTTATATTGCTGCATAGGCTGGAAATCTCCTGAAATATTAAACACTATTAGTGAAAAAAAAATGACCTCTCTGGAGGAAGGAAGTAAACTCCTGGCGCTGAATAACAGAACTGAAGACAAAGCGGAGTGTTTCAGGGAACAATGGTTACCCGGCAGAAGTTAGCTATTGAGAAGGATTAAGAGTAGAACACTGGACCAACTTTACGCTTTGAGTCTGTGTGAAATAGACCATAATACTGCATTTTTTTGAGGAATTCAGTGCTGTGTATGGTATTTGTGATTTGGGAGCATTTGAGAATGTCTCAGGATGTATCCCTCGCCGATATCGGGGCCTGTACCTTATTCATCTGTGCAGCTGGCATCTAAGAAACATTTACTCTGTGTGCAGCCATGTGCTGGGTGCAGGGTTACAGTGGTTCTGGGACCTGGTTCTGTAAGCTGGTCTACAACATGCTCTGCCCTCAAGGAGCTCGTGAAATGGGTAGATAGGACGCTCCCAGGCAGGGTGGTCAGGGAGGCCTCTCTGAGGACAAAGCATTTGAGACTGAGGCTTGAAAGATGGGAGGAAGGTGGAGGGAGTTCACTTCAGGCCCAGGGAACAGCTGGCACAAGGGAGAGCGGGAAGGAGTTTGATGTGATGGAGGGTCAAGGAGAAGGCCGCTGGGCTAGGTGCCCCGTGGGTGCAGAGGAAGACAGTACAAGATGAGATCTGGATGGGAGATGGGGGCCGGGTGATAAAAAGCTCCCTAAGACAGGTGAGCGGATTGGGTATGTTTGAAGGGCAATGGGGAAAGAAGAGGTTTTTTTTTTTTAAAGTTATCTTTTTATTGGCTCCAATTTCTCTCTTTCCATACTTTTAAAAAATTTATGTATTTATTTTGTGGGGGAGGAGACAATTAGGTTTATCTAGTTGGTTATTTAATGGAGGGACTGGGGATCGAACCCAGGACCTTGTGTATATTAGGCATGTACCCTGCCACTGATCTATATGCCTCCTCTGCTTAGAGCAGAAGGTTTTAAGCAGGGTGCTGTGCTCTGATACTTGTTTTGTTCTGTCCTGATTTATGCTTTAAAAAGATCCCTCTGGCTTCTCCTTGGAGAATGGATTAGAATGTGAAAGAAAAAGCAAGACACTGTTTCTGTTAAACACGGGAAGCGATGTTGCTCCTGATGAAGGTGGGAGCAGTGGAGAAAGAAATGGGTAGATTCGAGTTGGGATTTCAAGGTAGAATTGATGTCCTGGTGTCTTAGTGGGATCTGTTTTCTTTATGCAGGTGTCCAAGGAGAAGCATTCACTGTGCTTATTGACTTAACTCCTTGGCCTCACAGACACTTAGTTCAAACTCACGTTACCAACTTACCACAACTGTGGTGCATGAAAAAACACAAATGCAGGTGTTCCTTTCCTTCTTGATGGGTGAAAAAAAAGTCCATAAATGACTGATCACTAAATATTTTGCTCCCATAGGCATGTAAATATTTAATCCTTAAGGTTATTGACATCTGCGTATTTTACTGTCCTGAGTACAGACGTCTCAATTTGACATCCAGATGACTGG